TAATAAGTTTCCTTTACTGGACTGTAGCCTTCCACATAGGTTAGTAGCCAGTTCAATGCAGCGTGCAAACCCAGAAACACGTGTGAATCAGTCAACAAGGAAGGGAGGCTCGTGTGAATCCAACCTCTGGCCTTTCGGGTTTATGAAAATGCTAAAAAAAAGGAACGAAAAAGAAGTGCCCTGCAGCACTTTTCTTTGGCCACGAGATGGCAGCATTGCTCCATGGTTGGGAAAGGAAGGCGGAAAAGACGCGTTCCCCTTTCAAAAGAGAATAAAATAAAAGTTTTTACTGATTAAAAGAATATGACACATTTGTGCAAAATGACCTCTCTGTTGCAACACACAAACGCCCTGATGTGATTGCATTGAATTCAGCGGGAGATAGATTCCATTGAGAATCAAAACAGACATGCGCAGATAGGAGAGGACAAAGGGGAGGAGCCAGACTCCGAAATGGGCGGGTGTAACATAGAGACACAAAAAAGATTTTTTAAAAAAGTCGAGGAGCTCCGACCATTTGCCGGGACCCTCCCCTTCAGCTTGCATCCAACAGGGAATTCCTTCACTAGTTGAATGTCTGCCTGCGAGTTCTCTAGCCCGCTCCAGGGTCGAGGTTTTGGGGGAGTTACAGGGGGTACATAAAAAAATCATTTTATTATTCATAACGGTAACATATACAACGTTCATTTTAGGAGCTGATCCTGCCAAAGACATGAGCAGGATTCGAACTCAGAGCCACGTAAAGCAGGAGCCCGCTTGGGAGACGATATAATCAAATGTCGATTAACAAAAGAATAATAAAATTCCTTTGCTGGAGCCTAGCCTTCCGCACAGAATAGTAGCCAGTTCAGTGCACCGTGCATGCCCCCCCAAACACGTGTGAATTAGTCCCTAGGCAGGGAGGCTTGTGTGAATCCGACCTCTGGCCTTTCGGGTTCATGAAAAAGCTAAGAAAAAGGGACGAAAAAGAAGTGCCCTGCACCACGTTTCATTGGCCACGAGATGGCAGTATTGCTCCATGGTTGGGAAAGGAAGGCGGAAAAGACGCGTTCCCCTTTCAAAAGAGAATAAAATAAAAGCTTTAACTGATTAAAAGAATATGACACATTTGTGCAAAATGATATTTTATTTGTTGCAACACACAAATGCCCTGATGTGATTACATTGCACTCAGTGGGAGATAGACTCGAAATGAGAATCAAAACAAACTCAGCTTTATGGGTGTTTGCTTGCTACGTATATTCCTTTATCAAAGGTGTATTCTTGAGTGGCCCTAGAAAAAACGAGTTGTAGGAATCATAACAAGTCACTAGATTCCTGATCAGGGGTTATGTTGAATGGTGTCCGCCACATGGCAGAATTTCTTGTTTTTACACACTGGCTTGGGCTATCCACTTCACAGGGGTCTTCAAACTTGGCCGTTTGATGGCTGGTGGACTTCAATTCAGCATGGCTGAGGGATTCTTGGAGTTGAAGTCCACCAGTCATCAAAGGGCCAAGTTTGAAGACCCCTGCCACAACACAACCCCGTATATATTGAACTGCAGGGCAGGCTTGACCAAAAGGAGGCTAATTTAGGACATTCTCCCCCAATTACCCATAAAGCAACATCTAAAATCTCTCCAGGGTTGGAGAATGGCTTCTCGTTTTCCCTTCAGAAAACATGATTAGGAAAAAGGTTAATAGGCTCCCTGCCTGGGAAAAACTTTAAAATCTATCTCTAAACAAGCCTAACACACCAGATTGTATGGGTTAATGATTGCTTGAGCAAACAATCTTTTCCTGTAAAGGTTACAATATTTGCTTCAGATTTGCAAAATCTTGGTTTCTCTTTCAATGCTCAGGAGGATATTGCTCTTGATGGGCAAATAAAGCAGCATTATCTGCAGAAATTCATTTCCACATACCAGAACGCCAGGTGCGTGCTAAAAATAGGGTAAACCTCTCATTTTGGGATGTGGATTGTAACACCTCACCCCCTGCCTAAATGGACTCATCTATCAGGTTAGAATAGACTAGAGCTGGAAGGGACCTTGGAGGTCTTCTAGTCCAGCCCCCAGCTCAAGCAGGAGAACCTATATACCATTTCAGACAAATGGCTGTCCAGTCTCTTCTTAAAAACTTCCAGTCTTGGAGCCTTCATAACTTTAAAAGAGATCAAGCTGACACTGACACTACCTTGAACGTACCAGAATATTCTATTCTATTCTATTCTATTCTATTCTATTCTATTCTATTCTATTCTATTCTATTCTATTCTATTTATTCTACTCTACTCTACTCTACTCTACTCTACTCTACTCTACTCTACTCTACTCTACTCTATTCTATTCTATTCTATTCTATTCTATTCTATTCTATTCTATTCTAATAACTGTGTCTCTAACTTAAAACTGTAGTGGTTCACTTAATAACTGTGTCAAGATAGTTCGTAAAATGGGGCAAAATTCACTTAACACCTGAATTTCTATCCTAAAAAGCTTTACTGCGGTCACCCTATTGTCGCTGTGACACCAAGCAAACAATCTGTTTATTTTTCTAGCTGTACACAAAATCGTGGTTATCAAGGCAAAGAGCCACGCAGTAAACAAGCTCAAATCTACACCTGAGAAAATGACCATATCAGATTAATGAGGGTTAATGTTTTATTATAGGTCCCAAATCTGGAAGCTTTCCAATCCACGAAGAACTTTGGATACATACGCCTACAAAACTAGTCACCTCTAGTTGAGCAGCACACAAATCTAATAAATAAAGATAATAAAATAAAATAAATAAACTTGGACTTGCAAAAAAAAATAACAATGTGTTTATAGAAGTGTAATTGCACGTGATTACAAATGCTGACTTAAGAAAATGTGCAGCTTTCAGCCTTTGAATTAGCTGGGCATGAGAAGGAAAGAAAGACGGGACAATGTAATTCTGTTCATTTTCCAAAGTTGAATCATAAACCTGGAGGAAATGTGTAAACCTTGAATATTAATAATCTAATAATGTGTGGGTGTGGGTGTTTGCATATCTCTATAGATGGCTTTTACAAATTTTAGTTTTAATTGCTTATTCTTCCACTAATTTATTTTTTTTTCTTTTTTACTCCTCTTTACTCCTCCTTGTCACTCTTTAGCTTTTTCTTAGATAACAATTTAGATTCCTTTCCTGAATACTTCATACTTTTTCCATATAACAGCAATAGAGTTCTAGTGCTGGTTAAAAAAAAATTACACAGCATGCTGCAAATGGCTAAGATATTATTTTTAAATGGCTTGCAATGTTTCCAAATGTAATAAAAGGATTGTCATTGTTGCAGTCCTTAGTTTGTTTTTCTTCCCCCCCCCCTTTTAATTATGTTTGTTTTAGACTCTAAAACATCTACATTGTTTGAATTGGGCATGTAAATCTGGAAAACAAACAAAAGAATTGGATTGTGGCAATATTGAGCACCAAACAACAGCATATGTGTGTGTACGTATGTACATACTGATGCCAGCGTGATCCCTGTAGCCACACAGATGTAATTCCACCAAATTTTAATCTGCGCAGAAGGCTTCTATTGTATAGTCACAGCTCTCACCTGACTTTTCTAAACCTAGCTGTAGGAAACTCTGAATTTGTAATAATCAAGCAAAAAAGAAAACAAATCTCTATTTTTAAAAAATATTTTTCAAGAATGCAGTCTATCCAGTTGTTAGACTATATAGAATAATCTCAGTGTTGAAGTGCTGGGAAATAGTGGGGCTAGTTTATTTCCTGCTCAGATAGCGAAGATTGGAAAAAGCTGGCATTGGATTGATAAGGGATCTTTCCTTGTTCAGGATGCATCTGAACTTTGAAATTTCGCACGATCCAGTGGAATAAAACCTTAAGAAACCCTCTTTATATGTGGCCACTTGATTTAGACTCCTTGTTGCCATGTTTACTGTTCTGGAGAATAATGAGGTGTCCAAATGTCTATGGAGATTCTCAATCATGGCAGAATAGAATAGAATAGAATAGAATAGAATAGAATAGAGAATGGAATGGAATGGAATGGAATGGAATGGAATAGAATAGAATAGAATAGAATAGAATAGAATAGAATAGAATAGAGAATGGAATGGAATGGAATAGAATAGAATAGAATAGAATAGAATAGAATAGAATAGAATAGAATAGAGATGGAAGGGACCTTGGAGTTCTTCTAGTCCAGCCCCCTGCTCAAGCAGAACTTACACCATTTCAGACAAGTGACTGTCTAGTCTCTTCTTAAAAATTAGATAGGTTTGCTGTTATAGAAATGGCTCATGTATGATTACATAAAAAGTTTAAATTTTATTCAACGTTATTGGCTGTTTGAAACCGCGTGCCTGCGGACTTGCTTTAATTGAATCAACAGAGGAAACCAACAGCAAGCATTAATGTAATTAACGGAGCAAAGGCTAGCAATGCAACCTGATCTAGCCCTTGTTATTTTTATTTCTAGCAGCTATTCAAGGCAGGATATTGATTTACCGCCAACATCCGAAATGTATATTGAACAAAGATTCATTATATCTGAGCAATTCACTTAACAGGTTAGATTGCATAGCTTACCTGTATGGATCCTTTGTAGTTGAAATCATACATTAGCTTTGCTTGGGGTGTTGTTTTTCTTACTCTGACAGATAAATGGAGATGATGGCTCTAGGTTTACACTGGTTCCTGTGCCAATGTAAAGACAAATGGGATAAAAGAATGCATGGTTTAAAAAAAACAACAACCCTTCATTCAAAGAGGCAGTGGCTTTACCAGTTCAACCAAAAAGGTGGGGAGAAATGTAATTCCTATCCTTTCCTCTCCCAAAGGTGCTTTTTCAAAAGTCAACTGGACTATCTTGGATTGTGTTTTTTTTCTTTGAACACATTTCGCTTCCTATCCCAGAAGCTTCTTCAATTCTTGAGAAAGAAAAAGAAAAAGAGAGAGGGAGAGAGAGAGAGAGAGAAAGAAAGAAAGAAAACCAAGACAGTCCAGTTGCTTTTTGGAAAAAGCATTTTTGGGACAATCGTGACCCAGATGATTGAGACATGTTTTTTTTTTTTAATGCTTTAGTTAGTATCTGACAAACAGAGGCAAAAAATAAAAAGCACATTTCAAGAAATCAGTGCCGATCTTTCCAATCAAGAAGATGTTGCCTGATTCCCTAAATCTTTTTGAGTTTGAGTTACCAATTCAAGTGCTGACTTGCCTTAGCAGCAGAACTATCTATTTTATATTTGTATTTTTTTTTAAAAAAAAAAAATTTAGACACCGCCCATCTCAGTATGATTCTGCAGTTTACAACTAAGCAACTAATAATGTAATCAGTTTTCTTTTCATTTCTCTGAATTGAAAAGGGATTTTTTTTTTCTATAAGGAACTAAATATCCTCTTTGGTGATTTGATGAATGATTAACTTCTAGATCAATTTGCTCACCAATTTCATCCAGGGGAATTGGACAAGGACATTCAAAGCTTGGGTCGCCCGAGCTTATGCAGACATGATTCATCTAGGCATTTTCTTATTTTTGATGCTGTACGGATCAGGTCTGGCTCAGGACCAAACGTAAGTAATTGCTGGTTTAGCTGCAAAGGCATGTCGGAATTAAACCCAGGTTAATTGTTCGGGAGGGTTAAGAAAACAGGACTTCACCTGAGAATTAACTCGCATATTTAGAGTAGATTCCATGCCAACGTGATAAAAATCTAATTTCCATCCATCGTGCTATTACGCGAACATGGAGCTGAGTTACAGCCTCTGGTTTCTGGATTTTGAAACCTCTTGCAACCGTTTCTTAGTTCAACAAGATGTTGAGAAAAGCTTCATTTCCCCCCTGTGTCTATTTTGCAAGGCTAACAAATGGCGAAGTTTCCTCCCTAAGTTAGCCCACATCAGACTAATACTGTATATTATAGAGCGAGCTTGTTCTATTTTAGAAGCTGTTCAGAAATGCAAGGCTGAAATTGTGAGCATAGCATAGCATAGCATAGCATAGCATAGCATAGCATAGCATAGAGCTGGAAGAGACCTTGGAGGTCATCAAGTCCAACCCCCTGCTCAAGCAGGAGGCCCTAGACCATTTCAGCCAAATGACTGTCCAATCTCTTCTTAAAAACTTCCAGTGTTGGAGCATTCCCAACTTCTGGAGGCAAGTTGTTCCACTCCACTTTAGTATAAAATGACACCAATGAATGGTTTTGAGGCTATCCCCATAGATTCCTGTATAAATATGATCCAGTTATACTTGTCGGATGAACTTATAATTAATCTGAAAGTCAAGTGCAAAGCTTTAGGTGACTGATTGCATTGTGATTTCCGGAATGTTTGAACGCTAGGATCAACTTCTTTGAAAGAAAACTAGGTGCTGGGTAATAAAACCTGCTTTTATTAGGAATGGTAGCACAACTAGGGATACCCTGACACCGAGAACAGTTAACAGTGGAACAAAGGGCTTCCCTCCCAAAATTGGGGGTGCTCCATCATTGGAGGCTTTAAAAAAAAAAGAGAGAGAGAGAGACTGGACAGCTATTTGTCCAAAATGGGTATAGGACCTCCTGCTTCAGCTGGGGAGGTTAGACTAGAAGACCTCCAAGGTCCCTTCCAACTCAGCTGCAGAGATGTCTTCTGTAAGACGTAATGGACAGCAAGGGCGATGTCTTTCTATTGCAGCTATGTCATTTCAGCCCCTAAATTTATCCGCGCTGGAGCCTCTGAGCAAGTGGTAATTCAAGCCTATGGATACACCCAAGAATTCTCAGTCACCATCTCGATGAAAAGTTACCCAGATAAAAAAATGACATACGCCTTTGGTACCGTCCAGCTGACTCCAGCCAATCATTTCCAGGGCTCCGTAACTTTAACGGTACGTCGGAAAGCGTGATCCTCTTTAGCTGGTGTAGATGCTCCTGCTTGTGTTTAAAAGCTTTTCCACCCCCCCAAATCTAGGTGCAGCCAAAGGATTTAAGGACCGATGAGCCCCAGAAACGGGTGGAATCTATATATCTCGAAGCAGCTTCACCCCACTTTACGAGACAGAAGAAGATGCTGCTTACTTACGATAATGGATTTTTATTCATTCAGACCGACAAGCCTATTTACACTCCCGATCAATCAGGTAACCTGTTTTTCTTTCATCTTGCTTTGAAGGGTTAGATCCCAGTTCTGGGTTATCTTCATTTAACAAAAACCAAACCCACAAGTTGATTAAGAAGGGATTGTCTGAAATAGTATAGGGTTTCCTGCCTGAGCAAGGGGTTGGACTAGAAGACCTCCAAGGCCCCTTCCAACTCTGTTATTCTATTCTATTCTATTCTATTCTATTCTATTCTATTCTATTCTGTTGCAGCTAAATTAAAATTAAATGTCTTTCTGAATTGTCTTTACAGTGAAAGTCCGAGTCTATTCGCTGAATGAAGAACTGAGGCCGGCTCGGCGTGCAGCTGTCTTAACTTTTGTGGTTAGTCCACCCCTTACTAAATCTCAGTGTGTATTTATTTACATTTTCAGCCTAAGCCAAACAGAACAATATAGGGTTAAAAAAAGTATCTGCTTAATATCTATGGAGATTCTCAGTCATCCAGGACATGGCTGTCCCAAAAATGCTTTTTCAAGCACTTTCTTGGTTTTTCCCCTGGACTTTCCTTCTTTCTTTTTTTAAAAAAATATGTTTTATTAATTTTTTAACATAATCACCTTAATATTCAGTAGACAGTGCATTGTCTGGTTTACATTGAACAAACATTCACTAACAATTAAATTCTATAACCTATAATCCACACGATAACTTCACATGATTTCCTCTTTTCCCCATAATGTTCTCTTTTACCAACCTTAAGTTAATACAATTCTTATTGTTTTCATGGATAATAATTAAGCATAAAAGTTTTCTAATATACAAATAATAATCACAATAATATAGTATTCTATCTAGTCATTCTGATTGTCTCATCGTATGCCCTGTTTCCAGTTCTTGTTTACATTTGTTTTTCCCACAGTGTTCTCAACATTTTTACTGGTTAAGATTTTCTCAAGAATTAATTACATTTAAATATTTAAATCTATTTTTTTTTTCTCATGTAAGCCAACCCAATACTTTTACCTTTCTTAAGGAATAAATAAGACTACGAAAAAAGAGAAGAAGGACGGGAATAAGAAAAAACTGGACTTTTCTTCTTCAGTTCTGAAAGTAACTGGAAAGTCCAGTTAACTTTTGAAAAAGCTCTTTTGGGATACAAAATCTCCTTCTTATCAGTTCCTCCCGTTCAGATCACGGACCATTATTTATAGAGAAAAGAGAATCTGAGAATAAGGATAGAAGCAGACTGAAGATTATTAAATATAATTTGATGACATTTAAGGATTTGGGTGCCTATGGAATTTTTTTTAAAAAAGGTGTTCCACATCGCAACAGAAATGAATAGCGTATCCTCCCTCAATCAAAACTCCACAAAGGTCTTGTGCTATTTTTCAAAATGCTCTTTTGTCTCCCTTAATAAAGGATCCAGGTGGGGCAGAAGTGGACATCATACGAGAAGATGACGCTACAGGAATCATCTCGTTTCCTGAATTCAAAATTCCTCCGTATCCCAAGTAAATCTATTCACATTTTAAATGTCAGGAAGTAAATATCCGTTTGCAAGCGAAACGTAGAAACACGGCGGTGAAACAAATTTGTGGTGCTCTTTGAACTGGGTGGTTTTCCTGCAGCCCACAAGGTTTCTGTCGCTAAGCCGAACATCCGTTAAGTGAATTTTGCCCCAGTTCATGACCGTTGCTAAGAGAGTCACTGCAGCTGTTTGCTTGCAAAAGGTGGATCACGTGACCCCGGGAATTTTGATCAGGTGATGCTGCAAGGGTCGTAAGTGTGAAAAATGGTCATAAGTCACTTTTTTTTCAGTGCCACTATAATTTTGAACAACTTGAACAACCAACTGTTGTAAGTCGAGAATTATTAATCAGGCTCTGCCTGTTTTTGCGACGAGGCTGTAATCCACGCCTATATTAGTCTGATTTTGTAAACCTTCCCTGATGAACTAGTTCCATGCAGGGGCAAAATAACCAGCATCCACAGCCTAGTCTCACGACTGACTCGGCTGTGGATGCTGGTATGTCAACTCCTGCATCCAATTTAAGAAAAACGAGCAGAAGAAATAGGCCTTATTTAAAACCCGGGCTGCAAAGCATTCAAATGGCCACCAGATGGCAGCAAAGCATAAGATTTTGAATTCTGGCTCTTTTTTTTTTTTTTTTGGAACAGAGAAGTAAGAGATACACTGCAAAAAAAAAAAGACTATTTAAACATCTACAATTATTTAACTTATCTTTTTTATTATTTTAGGTTCGGTATTTGGACCATTATAGCCAAATATGATAAAGAATTCACAACCTCTGCCGTAGCAAAATTTCAAGTCAAAGAATATGGTAATCACGAAGATTTTACTGGGCTATTACATGGCTACACATATTCATGCCGTGATTAGCATTATTAGATATTTTATCTCACTTTTTTCATATATACAACACAAGGTGGTGGACATGCCTAATGTTTCTGCCTTCTATTTTCCCCATAACTATCCTGCGAGTTGGGTCAGGCAGAGAAAGAGGCTGTGATGAAGAAATTTGATTGTTGGGGGCAGTTTTAGAGAAAACACTTGAGGGGAAATAATATGAATTTCAGCTGATGTTGCTTGGAAGCAATAGAAGCTAATTTCCTCCTGCAAGATGCCAATTTTGCACCATTTTAAGCTAATGAGAAGCATTTTCCGCCATACATATTTCTTAGGGCCCAGCAGATAAACAGATATCTTCTGTAGAAAATGTTTTTTTAATATATTTGTCATCGAACTGTTAGGAAGCAACTGTCGTTTCTTTCACATTTCAGCCATGCCAAGATTTTCTGTCGAAATTATTCCAGAAAACAGCTTTATTAGCTCCCAGTATTTTGAACGCTTCAAGATTACTATCCAAGCTCGGTAAGGCCAGATCATCAATTTTATGAGTTTAGTTTTTAGTTTACTTTAATTTTTATTTTATTTTAGTTATTTTGTTTAGTTTAGTTTATCTATGCTAGTTGAAACCCAAGAATGGTGTTTCACAGATTGAAGAAGGCAAACATTCGAAAGAAGATGGAGTGGATTAGAAGATCATGAAGAATAGAATAGAATCTGAGATGGAGAGAATAGAATAGAATAAAATAGAAGAGAAGAGAATAGAAGACAAGAGAAGAGAAGAGAATATGAAATGGAGAGAACAGAACAGAAAATGAATAGAATAGAATATGGAATAGAATAGAATAGAATTAGAATAGAATAGAATAGAATATGGAATAGAATAGAATAGGGAATAGAATATGGAAAGGAATATGGAATGTAATAGAATAGAATATGGAATTGAATAGAATAGAATAGAATATAGAAGATGATAGAAGATAGAAGACAGAAAATAGAATAGAATAATATCTTTATTGTCACTTTAAATGTACATTAAAACATTAAAATTAGATTTCATTGCATACAGCTCTCAAAGGATAACCACCTCCAATATACACTGCATAAACATGACAATATAATAATAGTAGTAGTAGTAGTAGTAGTAGTAGTAGTAGCAGTAGTAGTAATTATACCCACATAATCATGCGTGTAATTAAGGAAGCAAGCTAGAAATTGGGAGACGGTGAGTTCTATTCCTATTCCTATTCCTCCTATTCCTATTCCTTTAGGGCCAGTCACCTTCTCAGAGCCCTAAGAAGGAGGTAATGGCAAACGGTTTCTAAAATCTTGCCAAGAAAACCGCAGGAGCTTGTCCAAGCAGTTGGCAGGAGTCAACATTAACCCAAAATGTCCCCCCCCCAAAAAAACAATATTAATTGCAATCAACTGTCCACTGCCCTGGCCTTGATGCTTCCTCTCTAGCTGAGATCAAAGAAGCCATCATTTACCCGTAGTTTCTCACGACCCAAACGGGGTTTCCTCATGGACTGATGGGTTGTGTTGCTCTTGGTCTCTTCTCCTCCAGGTATTTTTACAAGAAGAAACTGAGCGAAGCAGAAGTTTATGTCCGCTTTGGAATCGTTCAAGGAGCCAGAAAGACCATGTTGCCCAAATCGTTGCGTCTCATTAACGTAAGCCTAGAGTGAGAACAAACCCCCCAAGGCTCTTCATCTCTGTTCTAGATTCAGGGTTCTAGGTTTATCTTGGTGCAAGGGGCTGAGGTTGAGATGCCTGCTTTGAATGTCAAGAGTCACGAGACCACATTTGGAAGTGGGAATTTAGCTCTAGGGTCTAATTTCTTGCCTTGTGACTAATCTTTAGATGGAGGATGGCGTCGCAATGCTTTATTTTAACAGCAAAGAGGCTCTCCGTGAAATGGGGTACAGCGACCTTTCAGAGGTGGATGGGGCCACCCTCTATCTCGCAGCCTCTGTGCTGGAAACTGGAGGTAATTCCATCTGTCTGTCTGTCTGTCTGTCTCTCTCTTTCTCTCTCCCCCTTCCTTCCTTCCTTCCTTCCTTCCTTCCTTCCTTCCTTCCTTCCTTCCTTCCTTCCTTCCTCTATTCCATATATCCATACATCCACCATCTCTCTCTCTCTCTCTCTCTCTCATCTGTCTGTCTGTCTATCTATCTGTCTGTCTATATCTATCTATCTATCTATCTATCTATATCTATCTATCTATCTATCTATCTATCTATCTATCTATCTATCTATCTATCTATCATGTCTGTCTATCTATTATCTATCTCTCTATCTCTCTATATCTCTATCTATCTATCTATCTATCATGTCTGTCTGTCTGTCTGTCTGTCTATCTATCTATCTATCTATCTATCTATCTATCTATCTATCTATCTATCTATCTATCTATCTATCTATCTATCTATCTATCACCCATCTCACAATTCAGGCGACTCTGAGCAGCTATAATTCTATATCAAAGCGGGAAGATGAAGAACTCAATGCAGGAAGTCCTCTTTCATTGAAAACATCAAATCCTTTCTTTTGGCAGATGGCCACAGCGAGGACGGTGAGCTAACCACGGTGAAGTACGCCTTGTCTCCTTACAAGTTGGATCTGATTGCCACGCCTCTTTTTATGAAACCCGGGCTTCCTTATTTTATTAAGGTTAGCGAGACCTGATGTGGAAGAAGCTTCTTGGATGAGAAGCGAAAGGCCCTCAAAGAAAAACAAGTCCAGTTGCCTCTTGAAAAAGCACCATGATCTGGAGCAGTGGTCTTCAAACTTGGCCCTTTCATGACTTGTGGACTTCAACTCCCAGAATTCCTCAGCCAGGCATGCTGCTGACTGAGGAATTCTGGGAGTTGGAGTCCACAAGTCATGAAAGGGCCAAGTTTGAAGACCCCTTATCTGGAAGGCTGAGATGCTCCACAGACATTCCTGCTCTCTCTGCTTTTTTACCTTTGGTTATTCTCTCTTTTGGGAAAGGAAAGATCTCTGAAACCAGAACCCAATGAGACACGTGTGGTCTATATTTGGGATATAAAAATATTCCATGAAATAATTGAAGATCGTCCATTTGGAAATTGACCCAACCTGACCTAACAACTTTAGCTATTACACTTGTGAGTCTTTCTTACCGCCCACACCTTTGTACCTTGCTGGAGGTCAGATAGCCGGGCTTAATAAGGAAATGGTTTCTGTTATTATGATTCGTGGATTAAGATGAGATAATAATTGGCAGTTTTTGCATAAACAGGCACGGGTGAGGGATATGCTGGACATATCAGTTGGCAACGTTCCCGTGCTCCTCACGGCTACCGCCTTGAACGACCAAATGGAAGAGACCAAATTAATTCAAGAAGGCTCCGAGTTCGGGTCTGGCGTAACCAGTTCCACAGATGGGACCACTATCTTTACAGTTACCATTCCTTCCGACGCCAAAGTGCTGGAGTTCAAAGTGAGTGAAATATTTCCTTATTCTGATCGGAAGGGGTCAACCCCAAATGCCTCTGGAAGTTTTTAAGTGTTGCTCTCAAACTTGCAAAGTATAAGCCAAGGTCAGACAAATTACCAGCAGGCATACAACAGCAAAAATCACATTAACTGTTCAAAAGCACGCCAAATGCAAACTTTTACCTTTCCGTAAAACGTTGTTTGTATCACTGAAAGCTTTGTCGTTGTGTGTTTTTTTCTTTTAAGGCAAAAGATGTTAATGTAGGAGTTGTTTTTTTTCTAAACTAAAACCTCAGTATTCAGATTAAATTGCCCCGTTGGCACTTTGCGATACAGAAGTGGGTTTTGGGGTTGCAGTTTGGGCACTCGGTCTCTCAAAGGGTCGCCTTCACTGCTATAGGGCCTCTTGCTTGAGCAAGGGGTTGGACTAGAAGACCTCTGAGGTCCTTCCAGCTCAGTTATTCTGCATCCCTGAGGTCTGTTGTCTTTTGGTTTTTGCCTAGATAACAACAGCAGATCCTTCTTTATCAGACGAGAACCAGGCCAGAGAAACCTACGAAGCAAAATCCTACATTTCTCTCAACGGAAACTATCTCTATATTGACTGGGCATCAGACCACAGAGTCTTACATGTCGGAGAGAGCTTTCAGATCAAAGTACACCCAGCAAGCCATTATATCGATAAAATACTACACTACAGCTACCTGGTACGTTTTGCAAACCTATTTTTAGCTTTCCCTAAAAGGGACAAATGGAAAAAACAACAACAAAAAACTGAAATGCATACCTGTTCTAGCTTATGTCCTCGACTTACAACAGAACGGTGGCAATTGTTTACAGTTGTAAAAACGGGGCACAGTTCATTTAAATGTCTCACTTAGCCACAGCACTTTGGGACTCCATTGTGGCAATAAGTCAAGGACTATCGGGCTAATTCCATTCCCTTGCTGGTTGACCCCAATCCACAATCCCACCCCACATTGGATGTTCTTTAGGCCAACAAAATAATCAACATTAATTGTCTTCTGTGCTTACAATCCTTCCCCCCCCCCATTAGGTTATCCGAGCTTCTATTCTCGAATGTCATTGTTTTCCCTTTTTTTTTTTAGATCTTATCCAGAGGGAAAATAATCAGTTACGGGACTCAGGAGAAGATCGAAGGCCTGTCTTATCAAGGCCTGAACCTCCAAATCACTGAAGAAATGGTCCCTTCAGCCCGTCTTCTGGTCTACTACATCGTTACGGGGGAAGGAACCGCAGAATTAGTAGCCGATTCAGTCTGGCTAAACGTGCAGAAAAAATGCGGCAACAACCTCGAGGTCAGTAGAACCTCATCTTTGGATACTTGTGTTCCACCAACTGTGGTCAAACTCTGGACTCTCCCGCAGCCCTCTTGAACGTCTTTTTCCATGTCCTATTTGGGGTTTTCGTCCTTGCAGGTCCGCATCCTGAAGAACGAGAGAGTTTACCGACCCAGAGAAAGCGTGTCGCTTTCCATGACCTCCGAGTCTCACTCTCTAGTAGCCCTCTCAGCCCTGGACAAAGCCATTTACGGAGTGACGGGATCCAAGCAGAAACCTATGGAAAAAGTTACGTCAGGTCGAAAGGAAAACCTTTGGCTTTCTTGATGCCTGTTCAGACGTCCAATTGACCTGGGTTGTGTTGGAGACATCCCCACCACACCGTATAGCAAATAAATTAATATAAAAATAGGTCTTCTTTCCAACGTTGCTGAAATAATGGCCCATCTCTTACGACGTAGGGAGAAAGCGAGAACACACAGTCCATCTTGCGATGGGGAAGCCTAAGGATCGACAACACCACCCAGGCTTCCTTTTGTTCACTTTAGCGTGCTGTGCCCCTGCAGGCACGCCTTTCCCGTTTCTGTCACGAATTATTTTGACCGACGCGGGCACGAGAAAACGGAAGGGATGAAATCTCTCCGTCTTCTCCTTCGCAGGCTCTCCTGAAACTGGAGAAGAGTGACCTGGGCTGTGGTGCTGGAGGAGGGGAGAACAACGTGGATGTGTTCCGCATGGCTGGTCTTACTTTTCTCACCAATGCCAATGCTGACGACCCCAGAGAAAAAGGTGCGGAAATGTTTCCTTTTAACCATAATATAACTGTCCATAAACCTTCAGTCCTAAATGCAAAAGGGTGGCATCTGATTACCAAATTACTTCCTTCTGCTTCTCTGTCTGCTTCTGCTTCTTCTTCTCCTTCTCCTTCTCCTTCTCGTCCTCATCATCTATCTTCTCCTTCTCCTTCTTGTCCTCCTTATCTATCTTCTCCTTCTCCTCCTCTTCCTTGTCTATCTCCTTCTCCTCGTCTATTTCCTTCTCCTCCTCTTCCAGCACTGATGCTGTCACCTAGTTGTACCCTGTGTATACTTCTGGGGAAACATTGCTGCTTCTTATTGGCACTGATCTCTTTTCTTCCATTGGCTTCCACAGATGAAACTTGCACGGCCATCATCAGAAGTGCCCGCTCCCTCAAAGAGGACATCGAAAAACTAGGTATGCTGTCAGCCCCAATATGTGGGCTCTTTGATGCTCTTTGAGCTTGGGGGTTCTCTTGCAGATGTTTCATTACCAAACTGCACTGGTGATGTTATCTCGTTGGGTAATGAAACATCTGCAAGGAAATTACCAAGCACAGAGAGTACCAAGGACCCCAAAGTTGTTGTTGTTGTTGTTGTCGTCATTGTCGTCCTCCTCCTCCTCCTCTTCCTCCTCCTCAACCCAACTCCCTTCTAGCACTGATGATGTTACCTAGTTTGGAAAATGAAATGTTTGCAAAGAAACCAGCAAGTTCGGAGGGCACCAAGAACCCCACATCCTCCTCCTCCTCCTCTTCCACTTCCTCTTCTTCTTCTTCTTCTTCTTCTTCTTCTTCTTCTTCTTCTTCTTCTTCTTCTTCTTCTTCTTCTTCTTCTTCTTCTTCTTCTTCTTCTTCTTCTTCTTCTTCTTCTTCCTCCTCCTCCTCCTCCTCCTCCTCCTCCCCTCCCTTCTAACACTGATGGTGTTACTTGGTTTGGTAATGAAACTTCTGCAAGACACCCACCACACTCAGAAAGACCAAGGACCCCACAGCTCAACCCTAAGTTTCAAATAACCCTCTTCTATCAAAGCTAAATATTTTGCTCAATCCGCCACATGGCTGCCCTGTTTTGCACATGCTCTGTTTGGCAGTGGCCATGTTTGTGTGTGAAAATGTCTGCCCCTCTCCCCATAAACAATCCTTGATTCAGGCTGCAAAAACAAGGCAGTTTTGATTTCCCTTGTCTCCTCTAAGCCTTCCGCTGCCAAGATAGCTAGCTTTGGCTAGATCTAGCCTTAGTACTGATCAAACTCCTGGGAAGATAATTTGTGCATCACGCCTTTATCATTTCTTCAAGGCAATAGGGCCGTTATATCCTTTCTGCTACTTGCTCATCTCAGCTGTGACCCAGAGCTGTTTGTTCTTTTCCTGGTCATTTCTTGGAAAGATTTTTCCCCACTGTCTTATCCAATTCAGCCAAAACATCCTGAAGGGCTCTAAGCAACAGTTTGTCTCCCCCCTCCCTTTCCATCTTTTCAGTTGCCCAGTTTCAAAATCAGCAAATTCAAAAGTGCTGTCGGAGTGGAGCGGAGCCTTATCCCTTCCCGCAGACGTGTCAACAGAGAATCAAGCGTATTATTAAGGGTGGTCCTAGGTGCATCTACGCCTTCCGGCTTTGCTGCGAATTTGCTTTTAAGAGGCGCCTGAATGACACACACAAGCACCTACTCCTGGGGAGAAACGGTATGTATACCCCTAGCAAAGTTACAAAGCAAATAGCCTGTGTGGGAAGTCAGCCCCCCCCCCCAGAAGGAAATATTAAAGAGGCAGAAAAGTATATTTCCTCAAAGGATCTTAAAGAGACAGAAAAGTATGCCCAGTTTTCTTAATAGCCCCAAGTCCCCCTCCCCCGAGCAGAAACCAGCTCCGTAGAAATGCAGATGTAAACCATTCAGGAAGGTTTATGCTAGAAAATTAAGAAGACAAAGATACCTAAAATCTACACGCCCCACCCAAACTCTAAGACAGGACATAATAGGATTAATCCACAGATGCCAAAAAGGCACACACAGACTCAGGTCGAAGTTCATGCCACAGGAACAACTCCAAACAAAAGGCTCCAGAGGGTATCAAAACCCACTCCCTACATGTGCTCACTCTCTCTTTTCTTCCAGAGCCGTCTTTCTGTCTGGCTCTCCTCTCCAATAAACTGCAACCTTCTTTCTAAAGCAGTCGCCATGTTTGTTTATTCCCGGCTTGGACTGAACCGCAATGAAGTCTTTTCGTTCAACGCCTGTTTCAAAAGATTCGTTAGTTGATAATGTAGGATACAATGAAGATACAAAAGTAAATAGCGGAAAAGACAGGGAAGGGAAAAGGGAGTAGAGAAGTGAGGTAGGGGAGTAAAAAAGGAAGCAAAAGGCATTGACTCGGACTTCCTTTGGTGCGGTAGAACATCAACTTCACACCTCAACTTTTTACTGATACAAAATGATATAAACAAACCATTTCAAGAACATCAAGTCTACCCTAATCGGTAAAAACCCCCAAAATCAAAATGTCATTTTTTTCAAAGTCTAGAAGCGCTTCTAGCAAATCTACAAGGCGATAGCTATAGCGCTTGGACTTATATATCACTTTACACTGCTTTACTGCCCTCTCTAAGCAGTTTCTTTCTTTTCCTCCTCCTCCTCCTCCTCCTCCTCCTCCTCCTCCTCCTCCTCCTCCTCTTTTTTTTCCTTTTCAGCCTTTAATGCTCTATTGGATGTGGCTCCAGAAATCCGAAGTTTTTTCCCCGAAAGCTGGCTTTGGGAAGTCCATCCAGTTCAAAGGTATGAGATTGTATGATATTGGCTCTTTACAGGTGACTCAATAATAATAATAATAATAATAATAATAATAAAGATAATAATAATAATAAAGTTGGAAGGGACCTTGGAGGTCATCTAGTCCAACCCCCTGCTCAGGCAGGAAACCCTATATCATTTCGGACAAATGGCTGTCCAGTCTCTTCTTAAAAACTTCCAGTGTTGGAGCATTCACCACTTCTGGAGGCAGGTGGTTCCACTGGTTAATTGTTCTCACTGTCAGGAAGTTTCTCCTTAGTTCTAGGTTGCTTCTCTCCTTGATTAATTTCCATCTGTTGCTTCTTGTCCTGCCTTCTGGTGTTTTGGAGAATAGCTTGACTCCCTCTTCTTTGGGGCAACCCCTGAGATACTGGAAGGCTGCTATCATGTCCCCCCTCGTCCTTCTCTTCATTAAACTAGACAGACCCAATTCCAGCAACTGTTCCTTATATGTTTCAGCCTCCAGTCCCCTGATCCTTTTTGTTGCTCTTCTCTGCACTCTTTCTGGAGTCTCAACATCTTTTTTACATCTGAGTTTTTCCCCCAGCCCTACGATTCTATGATTCTATCTGTGCGAAAACTAGTAAATCAGCTCTGGTTTTTATACCAAATGCAGGTCCAAGATTCTACAAGTCACCCTGCCTGATTCTCTAACTACCTGGGAAATACAAGGTGTCAGCATTTCGGATAAAGGTATGCAAAATAAGGGATTTATACCATTTTTTAAAGAGAGCAAGGATCACATTATGCAATCACTCCTAGCCAGGTTAGTTTTTTTACCACCCCAACTTTCCTTCCTATCATAACAATCCAGGTCTTACAGGCAGTCCTCAATTTATAGCCATCATGGAGCCTGCCCATCACACTGATAAGTCACGAGAGTCGCAAAGCGGATCCCTGTGTGACTGATCCAATGATACGACCTTTTTTTTTGTGGCGATGGTCAAATGAACACCGTGCGACTGATCCGACGTTATGACCTTTTTTTTTTTGTTGTGGTGGTTGTAAACTGAACACATCAATTGTTAAACGAACCCATTCTTCACCTGGAAAAAATATTATTGAACATCGGAAGCAGATGGTAGTTTTGGGCCATTTTTGACACGGGATGCTACCAACAGTCGTAAATGCCGGCTAATTGGCAAGCCCTCAAACTGTGGCTGTGTAACCCCCAGGAGGGGGCAAAACTCTGGAAACTTGCTATATGTGCCTCCTAATTTTGAACAGTCACCAAGTGGCTGGTTGTAAACGGAGAACTACCTGTGTTTAGATTAAGATTTCCTTCCTTTTGGCTTGGGAGCCAAAAGAAGATTATTTATTGCCTCTTCTTTCATCTGGCACCCGTAGGTATTTGTGTGGCTGACACCCTGGAAGTGGAAGTCGTTAAAGAGGTCTTTGTTAACGTCCATATTCCATACTCTGTTGTCCGAGGAGAGCAAATAGAATTAAAAGCCACCATTTACAATTACAGACCGTCAAGGGCTAAGGTAAGTGAGCAGTTAAAAAAAAATTTTTTTTAAAAAAAATGAACAGTCGCTCCTTATTTGCAGGGACAAACTTTTAATCTTCACACTGGACTCTGATTGTCAAAGGCTAAAACTATGCATGGAACTTTATTTACATACCATTTGGGTGCTGCCTGATTTGTCAGAGAGATGGGGGGGGGGAAGAGCCCTCGGATGGAGACCTAAGTTGTTTTTGTAAAATTTAGGTGCACTTGGCCTACTATGGTTTACAAAGACGGAAGCAGAGCATAGATAGAGAGGCAAACAATACGTTCTTTCGTTGCAACAACACCACCAGCGGTTCTCAGGACAATTCTAGCCGGCCCCTCTAATTAAGACCCGGCTTTTGGCTTTTGAACTCTTGATAAGAACAAAACAGGGCAGTATCCTACTATCTGGACTTACCTTGAGTGTCAAAAGCATTTCATCTGCCAAAGAACTTCTTGTTTTACTCCCTGCTTGATGGAATGCCATGTAAACTGGATCTCCTTGATAAGCTAAGGGTAGTCACTTATCCTTGAATATCACAAGGAGCATGGCAAAGGATATCTAGGCTATGAAAAAGTTGCTTATTAATTTTTTTTTGGGGGGGGGGCTGGTTATTAAAGTCTAAAATCTCATCTCAAACGAATATTTTTATGTAATTTGCAGCAGTCCTATTCTGTTTTGGATGAAAAAGCTGCAAAGTACTCCCTTTGACAATAGTTTAAATACCAAAACGATACTTGTCTTTTTGCTGATCTTCAATAGTCTAAAAACTGTCTAAGCACCACAGTAGAGGGTTCATTATCTTTAACTTATGTCACTGTTTCTCAACCTCAGCAACTTGAAGCTATGTGGACTTCAACTCCCAGAAGTTGTCGTCGTCTCCTCCTCCTCCTCCTCCTCCTCCTCCTCCTCCTCCTCCTCCTCCTTCTCCTCCTCCTCCTCCTCTTCCTTCCTCATTCTTTGCTTCTCCTCCTCTTCCTTCTCTTCCTCCTCCTCCTCTTCCTTCCTCATTCTTTGCCTTCTTCTCCTTCTTCTTCTCTTCCTCCTCCTCCTTCCTCATTCTTTCCTTCTTCTTCTTCTCCTCCTCCTTCTCCTCTTCCTCTTTCTCCTTCTTCTTCTCTTCCTCATTCTCCTTCCTCATTCTTTCCTCCTCCTCCTCCTCCTCCTCCTCCTCCTCCTCCTTCTTCTTCTTCTTCTCCTCCTCCTCCTCCTCCTCCTCCTCCTTCTCCTCTTCCTTCCTCATTCTTTCCTTCTCCTCCTCCTCCTCCTCCTCCTCCTCCTCCTCCTCCTTTCTCATTCTTTGCCTTCTTCTCCTTCTCTTCCTCCTCCTCCTTCCTCATTCTTTCCTTCTCCTCCTCCTCCTCCTCCTCCTTCTCTTCTTCTTTCTCCCCCTCCTTCCTCCTTCTTTACTTCTTCTTCTCCTTCTCTTCCTCCTCCTCCTTCATTCTTTCCTTCTCCTCCTCTTCCTCCTCCCTCTCCTCCCCCTCCTCCTCCCCTTTCTCCTTCCCCTCCCCCTCCCCCTCCTCCCCCTTCTCTCGACTCCCAGAATTCCCCAGCCAGTGCACGTTGACTGGGGAATTCTGGGAGCTGAAATCCACAAGCCTCAAAGTTGCCAAGTTTGGAGAGCCCCGTTTTAAAGCAATGCAACTAAAAGAAGAGGGAACACCCTGCTACATCATGGGGCCTGATTTAGCATTACCAATGAAGGAGAATTTTTGTAGCTCAGGGATGAAGGGTGGGGTCCTGGATACTCTCTGAGCCTGGTGGTTTTCTTGCAGACGTTTCATGACCCAACTAGGTAACATCATCAGTACTAGAAGGGAGTGGGACTTGCAGGGAAGGAGGAGGAGGAGAACTGTGGGGTCCTTGGAAAATGTCTGCAAGAAAACAAGCTAGCTCAGGGGGCACCAAGGAGCCATTTAGCCTTCTTTCTATTGGCGCGTTTGCTCCTGGCTGGACACTTCTCTAATTCCTCGCGGTGACCCTTTCAGTATTGTCTGAAGCTCAGCGTGCAAAAAGGGATCTGCCTCTTTGGTGCTGCTAACACCCTGACGGACAGCTCTCAAGTCCACACCTGCTCTCACCTGAAAGATATCCAGAGCTCGTCGATGGTGGTGGAGTCATTTAAAGTTCTTCCTCTTGAGTTAGGCCTTCTCAGCGTCAACCTCACGCTTCACAGTGATGCGGGAAATGAAATGCTCGTGAAGACCTTAAGAGTTGTGGTAAGGAGGGTGGAAGGGAGGATTTTTTTCCCATGAGTCTCCTTCAATTCTTTATTGGCCAAGTGTGATTGGACACTCCAGGAATTTGTCTCCAGCGCATAAGCTCTTGCTGTACATGCCGATGACAAAGTAATACAATGATAAGATACCAGTAGAAGAAGCTAGCGGGAAAGATGTGAAGGATAATAGTAACAGACTTTGGAAAGAGTGCAGAAAAGAGCAACAAGGATGGCTGGTGGGGCTGAAGGCTAACACATACGAAGAACCGTTGCTAGAATTGGGTATGGCTAGTCTAGTGAAAAGAAGGACATAGCGGCGACATGATAGCAGTCTTCCCATATTTGAGGGGCTGCCACAAAGAAGAGGGGGGTCAACCTATTCTTCTAAAGCACAAGAAGGATGGATGGAAACTGAACAAAGAGAGAAGCAACCTAGAACTAAGGAGAAACTTCCTGAGAATAAGAACAATTAACCAGTGGAACCACCTGTCTCCAGAAGCGGTGAATGCTCCAACACTGGAAGTTTTTAAGAAGAGACTGGACAGCCATTTGTCTGAAATGGTATAGGGTTAGGGTCAGATTTAGGGATCCTGGTTGACTCAGCCTTGCCTCCTTCCGAGGTCCGTAAAATGAGGACCCAGATTGCTGGGGGGGGGAGCAACAAGCTGACTCTGTAAACCGCTTAGAGAGGGCTGTAAAGCAGTGTGAAGCGGTATATAAGTCTAAGGGCTATTGCTGTTGACCAGTTCTTTGGTTTTAGCCCGAAGGCATTCGAAAGGAGAGTTATGACGGTGGCACGCTGGATCCCCAAGGGGTTTATGGTAGGTCAGTTCAATTTATTATAGAAAAAAAAGAGAGAGACATTTCTCTTTGCTGCGTTTTTTTCGGGCGCAAAAGAGTTTGGAGAACGTTGCGTTCTTCACCCCCAATTCAACCATTTCAGCTGCCTTTTACCCCCACGGAAGGGGGAAAGGATTGGAGGGTTAATTTATTTTGGTAACTTATTCGCGCGACGCAGTTTGAAGCCCACAATGCACTCACTGGCTTTGGTGTGGATTGCTCATGGCAGGTACGGTCGTGAGACAGAAAGAATTTGCCCACAAGGTGCCGCGCTACATCGTCCCCAAGACGCAACTGGAAAAAACTCTCAGTATAAAAGGTAAAAGGGAAGGAGAGAAGGAAGGTGTGCTGGTTTCCATTTGCTTGTGGGACTGTTTCCCCCCCCCCTTCTCGATTTTGAACTGAATCGCTGAATTTTTCAGCGGTGGGGGGGAGGAAGGAAGGATTGGGAGGAAGACAGGAGGGGAGGAAGAAAGGGAGGGAGGAAGAAAGGGAGGGAGGAAGGGAGGGAGAAAAGGAATGGAGGGAGAAAAGGAAGGATTGGGAGGGAGGGAGCAAGGAAGGGAGGAAGAAAAAGGAAGGGAGGGAGGGAGAAAAGGAAGGAAGGATTGGGAGAGAGGGAGGGAGGGAGGGAGGGAGGAAAAGAGAGCCCAATGCAGCTGGAGTGAAAGACTTCAGCTGCTTCTTCACCCAAATGGTTTTTCCCACCAGGGTCCTTCACTGACTCAACATTTCCACCTGCAATTGGGGTGGGCAGCCTTAGCCACTGAACGGACCAATCCATCAATAATTCCGCATCTGTAAAAAAGCATCTCTTGTGGTTTCCCTTTCCTCGCCTTTACCCCTCCTCTCCTTTCCGTATCCCCTTCCTTGCGTCCTGGCTTGATTTCCCACTTTCCCAGGCAACTTGCTGGGGGATGTGATCCAGGCTGCCGTGAAGCCCGAGGCGCTGAAGTTACTCACCAACCTCCCCCAAGGCAGCGCAGAAACAGAACTGATGAACATTGTCCCGGTGTTTTATGTGTATGATTACCTGGAAAGGTCCAAGTCCTGGGACATCTTTGGGTCAGACAGAACCAGCGCAGAAATTACCATGTTAAGGAAGATGAAGAGAGGTAAGGTAGCATCTTTGGAGCTGTGAACTGGGTTGCCATCTGTCAGAAATGGTACAGGGTCTCCTGCTTGGGGGGGTGGGTGGGTGGACTAGATGACCTACAAGGTCCCTTGCAATTCTGTTATTCCATTCCATTCCATTCCATTCTGCATTCTATTCTATTCTATTCTATTCTATTCTATTCTATTCTATTCTATTCTACTCCACTCTACTCCACTCTACTCTACTCTATTCTACTCTCTCCATTTCATATTCTATTCTATTCTATTCTATTCTATTCTATTCTATTCTATTCTATTCTATTCTATTCTATTCTATTCTATTCTATTCTATCCTGCCAGTGTTATAGATAGAATTGTCTGTTCGGACGCTCACAAATCTTCTATCAAAGGATGAAACTTTGCATTAAGGCTTGCTAGATTTTTGACTGATAGACAACAGAATTCCACATGTCTTGACGTAATATAGCATTTTTAGTAAATATAGAGGGGAAAGTTTATAATGACTTGTCGATTTGTTATGCAAGGGTGGACATTTTATGTTCAGTGTTAATGGTAATAATAATGCCTCTATAAGCTATAAAGGGAAGTCACCAAGCTCTTTGCCTTTTAAGATATGAAGAATGGAGAAGAAGTGGTTTTTTAAAATTTATTTTATTTCTCAGGAATCATCAGCATCCTGTCTTTTCAAACACAAGATTACTCTTACAGTATGTGGAAGGATGGCGAAGCCAGCACCTGGTAAGTAAAAGGTGTCTTCAGAGGCAGCTATTTCCAGAATGGACCTGATTATATCACACAAAACAGGGAAGACATCCAGAAAATAAATACAATCCTGTTAAATCTGCCTCTCTCTCTCTCTCTCTCTCTCTCTCTGTGTGTGTGTGTGTGTGCAATTTCGACTTCCTTTCTTTCCTGTTTGTTCTTGGATGTCTTGAAAGCTCTCTCCAAACCTGAGGGAGAAACTCAAATTTTTATCTTTTGTTACCGGCAGGATTACAGCATTTATCCTAAAAGTTTTTGGACAAGTTCGGCGATATATGCCTGATCAATTTGGCACGGCGTGTCAGTCTCTGACTTGGTTGATTGACATCTGTCAAATGGACGACGGATCTTTCAGGGAAGTTTCAGATTACAAGCCAATAGCCCTTCAGGTATGGAAGTGGACCACGGGTAAGAATGAAACCCAACTCAGATTTATCGATCGGTTCGCTGATCTTTCATTTGAGGAAAGAGGAGACAGTGTTCTATCTCCTTTCCTTCATGCAGGAAATAGGGCCATCTAGATCAAACGATAGGCCAGATATTCTGGGATGGAAACCACTTCCCCTATCAACAGGGTTTTGTGAAAAAATTGGATGGAGAACATTTCCATGGCTTTGGGATGGGAGAATAGTTGGATGGCGTTTTCAAGGACGGGTGGGTTACTTCCGAAGGAGGTAGAATTTTGCCATGGCTGTTCTTTGTAAGGATGATGGATACAGATTAATTTCTATAACTTGGTGTGTGAAGGGAACTAAGAATCGAGACAGTGATATTTTAACACTTCTTTGTTGCTTTCCAAAGGGCACATTACGTGATCAGCAGAAAGAAAACAGTCTGTACCTAACAGCCTTCACCTTGATGGCCTTCTCAGACTATAAAAAAGCCTGTCCCTTCCAGGTAGGTCTGCTTTCCATTGTTAGCAACATTGCTGCTGCCATGTGGTTACCCCGGTCAATTCTCCGAAAGTTTTCGATGGAGTTTTATACTCTGATTGTTAGGACGTAAGTGTGGGCAGCTCTGCTTGGGCTTGACCCTTGCAATGACAAGCAGATGGTGACAGCCGTTAGACTATTGAATTCCGATTAAAGATGGAAGCATGGGAGAAGGAATGGCAGAACCTGGCAGGGTGGAGTTAAAAGAGGAATCAGCCTAGAATCCCTACATAGTCACAAGCAAATTTAGTCCAATCTCTCTTGTGTTCTGTTGCCCCTTATCTAACCCTTTATTTAAGAAGATTCCTGTACATAGCCTTTTAGCAATAGAGCGGTTTAGTTGAACCTTCACATAGGGACCTGATCTTTCTCACTTGACGGAGGAACATGACGTCATTTCTTTTACTGAGACTACTGTGTTATCTATGCGAGGGGCTGTTTTTCAAGATAATAGCGGGGGGGGGACAGAACCCACACATGCCATTGCCCGAAATGCTTTGGGAGAAAGGTGGTGGGAGGTGACCAGCCGACATGCCACCAAGGAAAATATAAATTCTTTTGCCTGTTCCTTTACAGAAATTTGCAGACGCTGAAAACCGAGCGGTCAATTATTTGTTGCAAAACATTGCAAGCTCGCAAAACACCTTTGTCTTGGCCATCGTGACTTATGCTCTAACTCAAGCAAAGGTCAACCATCCTGACCTTCATTCGGCCTACAGTCGCTTGAAGAATGAAGCTCAGGTGAAAGGTAAAATCCATTCCTCCTTATACCAAACCAGTTCAGCCAGATGATGATGTGGTTCATCTTTATAAACACCAGCAGCTTTCCATTTTTCGGATCAGGCTGGACTCTCCAATTACCATAAGTAGCAAAGAGGACATCTTCTCATTGGTCCTTTGGTTCCTTGGCTAGACTCAGAGGTGAGAAGGCCCTTCCCCTGCGTGATGTTCTACCTCTCTTGTTTCCCATTTACAGGGAACCCCCCAATCTACCGTTTCTGGAAAGAGACCCCCATCAAATTCGATGCAAGCATTCCCTCTAAGGGCAACGCCAAGATGGTGGAAACCACTGCCTACGCCTTGCTGTCCATTTTGCGGAAAGGAGATCACAATTACGCCAAACCGGTCATGAAATGGTTGACCGAAGAGCAGAGATTTGGAGGTGGATTTTACTCGACCCAGGTATCAGCTCTCCTGCTCCCACTTGAGCATCCTAAACCTTAGACAATCTCCCGCATTCTCCAGGTCATTTGTAGGAATCTTGAGTGTCCTAGAACCTTAGATAATCTCCCACATCCTCCAGATCATTTGTAGGAATCTTGAGCATCCTAGAACCTTAGACAATCTCCCACATCCTCCAGGTCATTTGTAGGAAACCACTTAATAATCTGTGGTAGTTTAGAACTGATTTTTGTGCCTTTCAACATGGTATCGTGTTCATTTGTGGAAAGCCTCATTGACACTTAACTGATGGCTAAATCAAAAAGATTTAAATCAAAAGGCATCAATAAGAAACCACTTCGAATATGCTAAGAGATCATTTTGGCTTTCTACGGGATGATGAAAAGTTCTTTCTGCAGCCTTTGGGGCTCTAATCATCCATTTTCTCATCCCTGAAAAACTAGAAATGGAATTTTTTTTTTTTAGAATTAATATACAGTGTGGTTGCTTCCTTTCTAACACTGTCTCTTTGTTTTTTGTTTTTTGTTTTCTCTCACTAATTTGATAGGATACAATCATCGCTTTGGAGTGCCTGACCGAATATTCCATCCTTATTAGACGGCTTGAGCTGGACATGAACATCAAAGCGTCTTATAAGTCTCATGGAGATTTCCACACGTACAGGCTCACAAGTAGCCATTACATCGGCAAGCCTGTGGATGTGAGTTAATGGATCGGGAGGGGATCGGGACGGGAGGCCAAAGAGAGCAGATATTTGAAGTGGCTTTTGATCTAGTTGGTCCATTGGCCAAGAAGTATTTTGTGGGCTTCAAGCCAGTCAAGGGCCAACAGGACCAGGTAGATCAGATTCTAACAAAGGCAAGATGAATCCCTGGATGGTGGCTGGTGGGAATAAAGTTCAGAAGGAGGGAGTTTCCCATTTTTTTTAAAAAAATCAACAACGGTCCATTATAACTCTTCCTGATTTTAAAGAGGGACATCTATTCCCCAGCCATTTTCAAGGTGGTCTACTTGAAGCTAAGTCGCTTTGGACTTGGAAATAAAACTGGTCTCCAACTAAACTATTTGCAAGTCAAAGACTCTGCCTCCAAAATAGCTGCTGTACTTGACGGTTTCTTCTAGTGTGGGAAGCAAAGTTTTGGCAAAGTTGGGAATACTACGTGCTTGGGATCTCCAAAGTTTGGTGGACCGTCCCCCAAGTTTATAATCTTTGGTAGGATCCACAGCTTCCACTCAGATAATTGAAAGAACTGAATGAACCAAATCGGAGATGGACTAGGGAAATCCTTTCATGTTGTGTCACACTCAACATGTTCATTCCTTCTGATCAGCCATCTTTTCTCTTTTCCTTCTCCACCTTTTCACCCCCTTGCTTCACATCTTAGCTTTCCTTTGCTCCAGGGAAATCTCACGGGTCATGATAAACCAGGATTCTGACAAAACCCAGATCTGTGCCTCAAGCAGCTGAAAATATCCAGGCCACGTTTATGACAAGCCTAACAAGAACTTTCTAGAGCAGCAATGGGGATTAATGTCTTTTTTCGCCGTTTCTTTGCAAATTCAGGCTTCCTTGAGTGACGATATAGAAGTGCGCACGGGAAGCAACACTGGAACAGCCGCTGTGACTGTAAGTGAACAAAGTGTCTTCATTTACAACTGGTCCTCAACTTACAACCATTCTGCTTAGTGACCGTTCAGATTTATTTATTTATTTAGCACATGGCTGACGGTTCAAAGTTACAACGGCATTGAAAAAAGTAACTTAGGACTGCAGGTTGGCTAAGTTGGCTAGAAAGGTACAGATTGAACATGCCTGCCATCCAAGATGGGTTATCTTCACAATTTTTAATCTTCGCCTTACCTATTCTACAGATATTATAACAGTAACTAGAAGCTGGTTGGCGGGTTCAAAGGCTCCGAATTAATCTGGTTTCCTCTTTATTTTCCATATTTACAGCTGAGGAGCGTGTATTATGTAAGCAGCGTTTCTGAGGACACTTGTGACTTTCAGCTGAAGATTAATGTCACGCGAGATGGTGAGGAACTCATTAAAAAAAATTAAACTGGAGAAAAGACTACTCAAAGGACCTCTGTAAGCTAAAAAATCAGTACTGCTTGGCTGGCAAGCACTTCTGCGAATAATTCCTTCCTGAAAGCCCCCTCCCCCCAATTTTTCAATCTGGGTGGTGGCAAAAATACATCTCTTTCCTCTGGATAGGTGGAGCGGTTGGCTTTGCCCCATTTCATTCATGCTCTGCTGGATAATATAATCCTGAAAATTCTTCTTTTGAAAAACAACCCTTTTTTTTTTTTGCTTGTGCAGAAAAGAAGTACTATCTGTCCTTCAATGAAATCCGTCTGTTGGTTGCCTGTGCAAAGTAAGTCTGAATAATTTGAGACTCTGTTGAGCATCAGAAAAAAAAAATTGGAAGAAGACTCCTTTACTTTGAATAGATTCTCTTATCTATCTATCTATCTATCTATCTATCTATCTATCTATCCATCCATCCATCCATCCATCCATCCATCCATCCATCCATCCCTAAGCTATTTCTCAAGCCCCTTCCTAGCCAAAACAAGCCTCCGGAGCGAGCGTGCTGTTTTCAGCTTTGAATTATATCAAACCTGACACCAGAAACAGACTAACCGATGACCTGAGTGCTGCATGTGTTGCTCTCAAACTTACAAAGTATGAGCCAAGGTTAGACAAATTATCAGCAGGCATACAACAGCAAAAATCCCATTAATTGTTCAAAAGCATGCCAAATGCAAGCTTTTACCTTTCAATAAAAAGTTGCTTGTCTCATTGAAAGCTTTGTCATTGTGTTTTTCTTTTAAGACGAAAGTGGAGTCAGTTGCTATTGTTTCCATTTTTTTTTGGCCCGTGTAGGTACAAACCTCGAAGGAGGACAGGACAATTCTCCTCTCCCCACGCAGTGATAGATGTCTCTCTTCCCAACGGCCTGGAAGCAAATACGGAGGACTTGTCTCTTGTAAGTAATGCTGACATCCCCAATTTTTTTTAATTTAGTAACACAGTTGTGAAACGAATCTGGTTGCCCCATCAACTGTGCTTGTTAGAAGTTTGCCCCCCCCCCAAAAATGGGCACATGATCCTGGGACATTGCAACCATCATAAATATGAACCGGTTCTCAAGCATTCAGAAATCAATCACCTGACTGTGGAGATGCTGCAACGGTGGGAAAAACGCTCAAAAGCCACCTATTTCGGTGCCACTGTAACTTCAAACCGTCACTAATCAAACTGTTGTGAGTCGAGGACCGCCTATATGTTTTTGAACAGCGATATGTGTTTCTAAACACACTGGGTCTCTCAAGCTGCGTGTTTTAGTTGAAAACCATCCTGTACAAATTCAGAGAATAAGTTTAAAGTTCAGATCAATTCGCGCCGACAGCTACGGCGATTCAAAAGACCGTCGCATTACAAAATGGGAATGCTTTAAAAAAAAAAGTTTCTTTTTTTTTTTTTAACTGATGGAGCTGCTCTTCCAGAATATCTCACCTGGCAAGTGTTCCTTCTTTTCTTTTTCTCAGCTTTCAAATAGTGTTGACCAGCTGATTTTGAATTATGAGATAAGGCCCGATGGACATGTTATCATGCAGGTGGATTCGGTAAGCGTCTGTGGCTTGGTCACGTGGTTTTATTTCTCACACGGCTTGTCAAATAGTCAATGAATTTTTTTTATTCTCCTGTTCCTCAGAGCTGCATAATTCAAGCTCAGTTGAATAGTCTAATAGACATGGCCTGCTCCCCCCTCCTTCTCTCTCTCTCTTTCTTTCTTTCTTTCTCTCTTTCTTTCTTTCTCTTTCTCTCCCTCTCCTCTCTCTCTTTCTCCTCTCTCTTCTCTTTCTTTCTCTCTCTCTCTTTTTCTTTCTCTTTCTTTCTCTTTCTCTCCCTCTCTCTCTCTTTCTCCTTCTCTCTCTTCTCTTTCTTTCTTTCTTTCTCTTTCTCTTTCTTTTTCTCTCTTTCTCTCCCTCTCCTCTCTCTTTCTCTCTCCTCTCTCTCTCCCTCTCCTCTTTCTCTTTCTTTCTTTCCCTCTCTCTCTCTCTGCCAAGTTGAGCAGTGTGGCACACAGGAAGTGGGTTTCTGCAAACTGCACAGGCTAACAGATAAAGCTGTTTGTTCAAAGATGCAAATAACTGAATTCTGCCAGTCCTCTGGAAGAAAGACAGCAGCGAAGATAATAGAATAACAGAGCTGGAAGGGGCCTTGGAGGTCTTCTAGTCCAACCCCCTGCTCAAGCAGGAGACCTGCCTAGACCATGTTAAAAACCTCCAGTGTTAGAGCATCTGCAACTTCTGGAGTTAAGCCATTGCACTGGTCAATTGTTCTCACTGTCAGGAAATTTCTGTTATTTTCTAACTTAGATCTCTCCTTGATTAGTTTCCACTCATTGCTTCTTGTCCTGCCTTCTGGTGCTTTGGAGAATAGGTGGATCCCCTCTTCTTTGTGGCAGCCCCTCAAATGTTGGAAGACTGCCATCATGTCATCCCTGGTCCTTCTTTTCTTTAAACTAAACATAACCAATTCCTGCAACCGTTCTTCGTAGGTTTAAGCCTTGAGTCCCCTAATCAATTTACAGTATATTTCAGGATTCCAGAGCCCTGCTTTCCAATCAGTAAAAATCATATTATATTAGCATTCCTGCTTAAATTCAAATGCCCACTTTCAGACAGAGCGACTGAACCGGTGTAAATATTCTGGGTTATTCTCTTTTTCTCAGTGGCTTCTGGAAAACCCCAAGTGGGATAGGAGTCTAGTGGCTTTTTCTCCTGTCCCCTCCCTCAGCCCATGGGGGGTTTGCACACCCCTTCCGTGGAACTGGTCTAATTCTGGAAATCAACTGAAGCCACACTGGCCCACAACAATAGCTGATATCGCAACAGACCAAAGACTTGTCATATTTCGGTGCAAAGCGGCTGGGTGGAGAAAGGTCACGTGTGGTTTTTATGTATCCTGAGTCCATCTGAACTGACATTATTCTGATAGATTCCAGGAAACGAATTCCTGTGCGTCGGTTTCCGAACAATTGAAATTTACCGAGTTGGAATGCCAAGTCCAGGAACCTTCTCGGTGTATGACTATCACGACCCTGGTAAGGAATTCATTTGGCTCTGCTTTCCCACGAGAGCAAGTCTGGCCTTTTGGGGCTAAGTATGTTGGTTCAGATCAAGGCAGCCTGTTAATGAATTTAGGCTGTGATTTTAGTATTGATTATTCTACGGAATTGAATGCTGGCTCCCGTTTGGCATTCCGCTTTTTCACGTACAGTACCGTACGTACAGCACCAGACGTACAGCACCAGACATCCAGTACCAGACGTACAGGACTGTATGTACAGTACAATATAATAATAAAATAATAAAAAATAAATAAAATAAATAAATAAAATAATAATTCCTTCCTTCCTTCCTCTCTCCCTCCTCTTTCCTTTCCTTTCCTTTCCTTTCCTTCCCTTCCTTTCCCTTCCCTTCTCATCCTTTCACCCCTTCCTTGCTTCCTTCCTTCCTTGCTTCCTTCCTTCCTTCCTTCCTTCCTTCCTTCCTTCCTTCCTTCCTTCCTTCCTTCCTTCTTTCCTTCCCTCCTTCCTCTCTTTCTCCCGTTTCCTTTCCTTTCCTTTCCTTTTCTTCTCTTCCCCTTCCCCTTCCCCTTCCCTAACTTAAATACATGGTCAACCCGGTGTCAAGAAAATGATTTTTGTTTTGTTTTGTTTTGTTTTGTTTCTACAGAAAAACAGTGCACCATCTTTTATAATGCTTATGGAGAAGAATCTCTTGTTAAACTATGTGAAGGCAGCGAATGCAAATGTATGGAAGGTAAGCAGTCAAAAAGTAACTTGAATTAAATGACCTGGGGGGGGGGGAATGGTTAAAAATTGCTTCAATTTATTTATTATTATTTTCTTTAACAAAAGAACATTCTTTAGGTCACCATGGTTGATATGAGCAAGCAATGTGTCAGAGGATCATATAACATGATTCACTGGGAAGGGATTTGTTTTTTCCCCACCTCCTTCCTAGTCACAGTAGGGAGGAGGGGGGGAAGAATTGCAGGTAAATTGAAAGCATCATCCCCAAAACATTTCTAAACTGTGCATCAAAGGAAAGAAAATTCTGCATCTGCTTGTTTATACTAGAATTTAAGGGAGAGAAAAACAGGGGTTTAAGTTTGAAGGAGAGGCAAGTGTTCCAATCAGGAGCCTCCTCATCAAAGCATCCCACAGGATCTCTTCTGCTTCCATCTTCCTGCTTAAAAAGCTTTTTCTGTTTCCTCAACATATAGCGGAATGTGGACATATGCAGCCCCGGCTGGACACCTCCATAACTTTGGATACCCGGAAAGAGGCAGCTTGCCAGCAGAACATTGCCTATGGTAAGAGTCCCAGGCTTACAAGAAAACAGGATGCCAGGAATGGGATGCCCAAATGCTTCCTGGCGATACCTAGATCTCCTTGCTGGCTACAAGGCACAAGGGTGGGCCTGGAGGCTCCATTTTAAAGCACGTTTTCCAACTTTATATTTGTTTTCTGAGGTTTTCGCGTGTGTTTGTATGTAGGTCTTTGGTTATTCGGGTTTTCTCCTGCGTAAAATTGGAAGTGTCTTGGCGACGTTTCGACGAAGTCCCATTCGTCATCTTCAGGCTGGTGTCTTCGGCTTTGTGCTTCTAGGAGCAATGAGATATATATCTTTATTATCTGTGAAGGAATGTGTAGCTAAAGAAGGACTCTGTGTGTGTGTATGCGTGTCTGTCTGTCTCTCTGTGTGTCTGCTTGTCTGCCTGTTTCTCTCTCTCTCTCTCTCTCTCTCTGCCTGTTTCTCTCTCTCTCTGTCTGTCTGTTTTTCTCTCTCTTCCTGCCTATCTGCCTGCCTCTCTCTCTCTCTCTCTGCAAGTGTGTGTATTTTGTGTGTATGTGTGTAAAATGCCAGCAATGATGATGGTCTTTATTTAACAAACTGTACTTTCTGCTTTCTACCTCTTCAGTTTACAAAGTGGTTATCAAATCATCCAAGGAAGAAGGAAGCTTTGTTAAATACAATGCAATCCTCCTGGAACCCTATAAATTAGGTGAGAACGCCGGGCTAGACTGATTTGAAAGGGCTCCGTTGATTTATTAATTTTTTTATGATGCCCACCAGTCCTTATGAGATGACTCTGGGGGGGGGGGCTTCAACGTTTCTTTATTCAAAACGATTGCCGCTATTTAAGCAATCATATGTTTTGCTTCCTGCTACTGTGGCTTGCCCATTTGGTGATGGCTCTGCGATTTTGGGTCGTCAAATCAACGTGCCGACTGCAATGCCATGGCCCTTCAATGTCTCCACTTCCCTGTATGTTAGAGTTTGATTTGCCTATCAAGATACGGCTCTAAAAATGTGGTGTCAAGAAAACACAGAAAGGCACGTTAGCAATGAAAAAAAAACCACATAAAAGATGGATACTTAAGGGGAAAATGCTAGCTGAGGTTTCAGTATTAATCACAACTGCATTCAGCACACATACACTTTGCAATGATTAGAATGTTAAATTTCTGAAATGGACCTTTTCCTGATTAAAAAAAAAACAACTTAAAAAGTACTTGAGAGCAGGACAAGAAGCAACGGATGGAAACTAATCAAGGAGAGAAGCAACCTGGAACTAAGGAGAAACTTCCTGACAGTTAGAACAATTAACCAGTGGAACAACCTGCCTCCAGAAGTTGTGGATGCTCCGACGCTGGGAGTTTTTAAGAAGAAACTGGACAGCCATTTGTCTGAAATGGTCTAGGGTTTCCTGCCTGGGCAGGGGGTTGGACTAGAAGACCTCCAAGGTCCCTTCCAACTCTGTTATTCTATTCTATTCTATTCTATTCTATTCTATTCTATTCTATTCTATTCTATTCTATTCTATTCTATTCTATTCTATTCTACTCTACTCTACTCTTCTATTCTATTCTATTCTATTCTATTCTATTCTATTCTATTCTATTCTATTCTATTCTATTCTATTCTATTCTATTAGATTCTATTCTATTAGATTCTAGTCTCTTCTATTAGATTTAAATGCAGTGGGAGAATGTTCAATTCGTAGGTTCCCTTCAATTTGTTTCAACTCTTCTGCAGGGGTGACTTTTGCTGAGAAGAACGCAGAAATCGTCTTTATTAAAAAGAGCTCCTGTACGGATGTCCAGCTGAATCCAAAGGAGAATTACTTGATCATGGGAAAAGAGGCTTTGAAGACAGGACAGGGCGCCAACGCCAGGCAAGCAAACCATCCTTCTGTTGGAGGGGCGATCCTTCACCCAAAACCTCTTTTGAGAAAGAGGGCATGCTCTAGGACACTCTTCTTTAACCTTGGGTAGGACTTCAACTCCCAGAACACCCCAGCCAGTTGGGGAATTCTGGGAGTTGAAGTCCAACCCATTTTCAAAGTTGCCCAAGTAGAGAAACACTACTCTGGGATGTTAACATCAGGACCCTGAAGCGAGTTTAACTACAATGTTGTTAGCTGACTCTTTTTTTACAGCAGCTCCGCTGTTGTGATTGCGCAAGTAAAATAACACCCATCAACCACCTGGATTTCCTCCATGCATGTGAACGTCGGCTGGTTTTCCTTTAAAAATATCCTTTTTCTTCTCCTAGATACCAGTATCCTTTGGACGATTCGACATGGATTGAGTGGTGGCCGTCCTCAAGTGCCACCTGTGGTTCTTGCCAGGCCTTTACAGATTCATTGGAGGAATTTGCAGATGATCTCTTTCTCATCGGTTGTTAAGAAGACCTGCAACAGGTCTCCGGCTTCCTGTAACTAGCATTTTTGACCATTTCTTATGGACTTGCATATTCCTAAGCAAGTAGGGATACGATCGTGCTTTAGATCAGGGCTCTCCAAACCTGGCAAACCTTTAAGACGTGTGGACTTCAGCTCCCAGAATTCCTCATCCATCATAGGTGACTTTGGGCCAATCACCAGGAGAACTGAGAGTTCTAGTCCCACCTTAGGGGTGAAAGCCCATTAGGTGACTTTGGGCCAATCACCGGGAGACTGAGAGTTCTAGTCTCACCTTAGCCGTGAAAGCCGGCTGGGTGACTTTGGACTAGTTTTTTTCCTCTCACCCCAAGTTACCTCACTAGCTAATTTGCTAGCTTCCTCCAATCTTAAATATCACCCTCAAATGGCTACTCACTTCTTGTGTGGCTGACTGTTTAAACCTTCAAAAGCTTCTAGTCCTCATGACTCCTTGAAATTGTAGGCTGTGCTTCCCAGAATTTCCAAACCGAGCAGGAAAGCCTCGGGAAGATTCCCAACAGCCAATTAAAAAAAAAAATGTTTTGGTACTTCCCTTTTTCCTGATTTAAAAAAAAGAAATCATCATAAATCTCTCTCAAAAAAAAAATTAGGATAGATGTTCGTAATAAATCACTCAGCCTTCATATCTGATAGGCACGTGTCAAATTTTATGTGCAATAAACCACCCCAAATTTGCATGTGTTAAAAACAGTCGGTAAAATAATGCGTTAAAAATTGTCAAACGCCCAAACCACTGGACCCAGAAGTCATGGAAAGGTGTAAATCACAGGATAGCAAGATCATTTGTGCTTCAGGAAATAAAAGGGGGGCCAGAAAAATGTCAAATTTCAAGAACCCCTCCCACTCTAAATATTTCCCTTCTGCAAGACCCTTTTTTTTTGCTTTTCCTTGTTTAAGGAAAAAAGAAAAAACTCCTCAAAACATGGCAAACCTGCGTGCCCAAACTCACCGATTCGCAAAAGCGGGTGTGACAATCTACAATACCGAGTCTTTTTTTTTATATACCAGCAGTCCTCAACTTACGACAGTTCCTTTAGTGACCCCTCAAAGTTACCCCGAGCAAAGTGACTTACGACTGCTTTTCACGCTTAATGACCGTGGCAGCATCCCCAAGGCCACGTGATCAAAATTCACACGCTTCTGACTCCTGTTTACGACGGTCGCAGAGTCCCGGGGTGGGGTCACGTGATCCCCTTTGGCGAACTTCTGACAACAACCGTGGAGACTAATTTAACAACTGCAACTTAACCACAGGGGCAGGGAAAAGTCGTTAAGAACGGGGCAAAACTCACTTAACGAACGTTAAATTTGCTGAGTTAAATCTGGGGCCTCCCTTGCAGGTTTGCAAAAACCCAAATACAATTATCTCCTAGAAAGGACTACTCAGCCTGTCCGCAGAAGTCAGCACTGCTGCACTCAGCCGGAGCCACTTTTGAGTGTTGACCTGTGGTCTCAAAACAGCAACTCGAAACTGACAATAAGTTTTTCGGTACTTTCCGCAGCTGACTTGCTTCCTCTGGTAATTCCCCACCAGCCCATCCTTTCACGAGCACAGAGACTGCTCGGCTAAAAACACTCCCAAACACAAGAGGATGTGGCTGGCCAAGAACTAGAGACTCGAAACTCTGGATTCCCCTAATTTTAAGCAGTCAATCGCAGCCAAAAGATTTACAATGCAACCTTGTGTAGGTGGAAAGCGGTACAGTTTTGCAAAAGTGTAGATGCTGGACTGCCTGGCTGTTTTGCAAAAGAGAGAGAGAGAGAGAGAGAGAGAGCTGTTTTTGTTTTTGTTTTAATTTTAACAAGCTGCAACGCACAAGCCCTGGCAAGCTGACATACGTGCTTTGCCAACTTGGTCTCTAGGATCATCGCTCCCGGATCCTGGGTCTCTAAGAAAGAGGGATCTGTTTATTTTGCGGAGGATAAACCACTCCTGCAGGATGCACAATGAGGGAAGATCATTCACTCCCTAAAGGGTCAAGGATAAATTTTGACTTCAAGGGCCTGAAAACCTGTTCACGTGGCTGTTTGCAGTAAAAGAATAAGGGCATTTATTTTCTTGTTAAGGTCTGGGAATCACAAAGGCAGCTGAAGGGTCTTTGCAGGAAACAGGAGACTGAGATTAGATGGTTTTCTTGCCTGACCCACCACCACAATTCTCCCTGTGGCATCAATATCTTTCCCTCATCTAATGCCAACTTCAGGTTAGACTGTTATATCTTGGCTACCGATTGGGTTAGTTGTGGGATGGGAAACCGTGAGCAAGTGAGCCAGCGTAGAAGTTGGAAAATATTCTAGAAGAGCAAGTTTCATATGATGAGTAAGAAAGTTGTGTAAATGCATTGCGCCCAGTTTGAGGTTTAGCTCTACTTAAAGGAAATGTTCACTTTGCTATGTGGATGAAGTGGGTTATTGTAGCAGCAGCTTGCTGAAGGAATCAAAGCAAGCAATCAAATTGGCAATGTTGTGGAGAGGAGGAGAAGAAGGACCAGGAGGATGAAGAGAAGATAAAGAAAGAGGAAGAAGAGGAGGAGGAGAGAAGGAGTAGGAAACGAGGAGAAGATAGAGAAGGACAAGATAGAGGAGAAGATAGACAGGAGGAGAAGGAAGAGAAGAAGGAGGAGGAGGAGGAGAAGAAGAAGGATAAGGAGGGGAAGGAAAGGTAGAGAAGGAGAAGATAGACAAGAGGAGAAAGAAGAGGAGGAGGAGGAGGAGAAGGAGGAGAAGGAGAAGATGGAGAAGGAAAGGTAGAGAAGGAGAAGATAGATAAGAGAAAAAGGAAGGGGAGAAGGAGAATTGGTCAATGAATAGTTCATAACACTCACTGCATACATAAAACATATCGATTATCCATGCATCATGGTTCCGACAGAGAGAGAGACAGACTTTGAAAATGAGCGTGGCTGCAGCCATTTTCCCTTCTCAATTTCGGTTGACGCCATGCAGGCCAAGAGATCCTCTTACATCTTATACATAGGAAAAAACTTTGGGGGCATCTGCTCAACGTCCTAGAGAATACAGCTCTCAGGAGCAGTAGCTCAGAAATCCTAGTGGCCAGTCCAGCCAAACAAAACATCGCAACTCCCATCTTTGAACCGCTTGGCTCGGATTATCTGCCAGCTGTCTTCGGAAAGCTCTTTGGGCTAATGAAGTTGAAGGAGACGAGAGCAAATTTCACTGGATCCAGCTTTTATCATGATTAACCACTCTCCGGCTCCTTCGATTAGCTGAAACTCCATTGGTGGTGAGAAAATAGGTCAGCCTAAGAGCTACGGTAGAGATAACGGTAGGATTTGGAGACAGACATCTGGGGGCACAGCCTAGCAGGAGGAACAGAATAATAATAATAATAATAATAATAATAATAATAATAACAACAACAACAACAACAACAACAACAACAACAACGATGATGATAATGTTGGAAGAGACCTTGGAGGTCATCTAGTCCAACCCCCTGCTCAGGCAGGAAACCTTATCCCATTTCAGACCAACGGCTCTCCAGTCTCTTCTTTAAAAACTTCCAGTGTTGGAGCATTCACCGTTTCTGGAGGCAGGTGGTTCCACTGGTTAATTGTTCTAACCATCAGGAAGGGAACCACCCCTCCCCACGAAAGGTGCGGGGGTGGGAGAGAGGGAATTGCTTTTCACAGGGAGAGAAATCACGCACGCATGCACATCGCTGGCCCCCAACCTCCTCCAGAAGACCTTTTCCACCAATTTGAGTTGGTACGCCCACAACCCCAATCTTATTAGTCATTTAGAGAGGGGGGGGTCCTCCCCTTACGATCACGGCTGAGCCCAAAGCGTCTGTTGCTAAGTGAGACAATGAAGGGAGCCCCCCCCCAATTTTACCGCCTTCCTCGCCACAGGGGTGAAGTTGGGACGTTAGTAACATGGTGATCCTGGCTTCCCCCACTGACATGGCTCGTCTGAAAGTCGCAAAGGGGGGATCACGGCAACCGTCGCAAGTACATGCCAGTTGCCAAGCGTCTGGGTTTTGATCGCCTGACCTCCCCGGCCGTAAGCCCAAAAAACCCCCCCAAAATGGTCATGAGTTGCTTTTGGTAACCACGAACGGCCACTCAGTAAAACAGTTGTAAGTGGAGGATGGCATGGAAAGGGGGCAAAATTCCTCTGCAAAGGCTAAGACCCCCTTCCCCCCCCCCCCAGCCTCCCTATCCAATGGGGAGGCATCTCCTCCATCGGTTTCACTGGACCTTGCGGCCCTGGATTCAGCCTCGCTGGTCTTTCCTGCCCTCTGCACTGCAGTCATCGCTGTGTTTGTCGGGGGAATTCAAAGGGTGACTGTGTAACTTCCTGTCACAGCTGCCTCAACCCCTTCAGCTGGGCTCCTCCGTTCAGCCCAGCCGAACATCCTTGGAAGAAAGGACATCTTGCTAGCTTTAGCAGGCCAGAGAGACCCCTTGGACCTTGGGGAGGGATCTCTTCCTCAGCGTTACCAGCTGGCAAGGCAGTGTGGTGGAGATCTGAAGTCCCTATTTCTCTCTCTCTCTCTCTTTCTCTCTCTCCTGGTTGAACAGGAACTGCTGCGGATGGCAGACAGACTGAGCAGCAGCAGCAACAGCTGTGCTGCGCCCCCAACAGCCCGCTCCCCTCTGGATGGAGCCAAACAGGGCTCCCCATTTTGCATCTGTGCCAATGCCGGGGAGCCGAAAGATCTTTGCAGTCACAGCAGGATCCTTTTGCAGGGAGACCTGCAGAATCCCTGCAGGAACCCCTACTACACAGCCTGCCTGACCTGGAGGATACGGTGAGTCCCTTTTGCAAGAGGGAGGACACGTGATGAAGTGGGAGGGGGTGTGTGGGGGGGAAGGGGATGGCAGTCAGGAAAAAGAGGAGAGAGAACGAGACTTGGGTGTGTGTGTGTGTGTGTGTGTGTGTGTGTGTGTGTGTGTAGATATATAGGGGGAGAGGCACAGGGAGGGCAAAAGATAGATGATGAATGAAGAAAGCTGGAGAGGCTGTTAGCTCACCTGTTTAGGATGCTCATCCTGTTGAAGAGGTGGAGACGAGGTTTCGTCCATGGCTGACATCATCTCCCAGCTCACAATGAAGTCCTAATAGCTGTCCTGCCTCCTGCAAGAGCCACTGAATCTTAGCAACGTCCATTTCTCTCTGCCTCTGTTTGGATGGAGAAGGACCACCTCCCCTTACTTTCTCCTAACCAAGGTGGACTAGGATGCTGGAGAAAAAGTGACAGAATAGCAGCATTGGAAGGTTTGGCATCAAAGTCCCTGGACTAACCAGGCTTTGGCTGGATCCGACATGTGTGCTCCACTCCAGGAGAATACCAGAATAACAGATTTGGAAGGGACCTTGGAGGTCTTCTAGTCCAACCCCCTGCACAGGCAGGAGACCCTATGCCATTCCAGACAAATGGTTGTCCAATCATTTCTCCAGGGATGGAGCATCCACAACTTCTGAAGGCTCATTGTTCTCACTGTCTGGAAATTCCTCCTTAGTTCCAGGTTGCTTCTCTCCTTGTTGAGTTTCCATCCATGGTTTCTTGTCCTGCCTTCAGGTGCTTTGGAGAATAGCTTGACTCCCTCTTTTTTGGGGCAGCCCCTGAGATATTGGAAGACTGCTATCATGTCACCCCTCGTCCTTCTCTTCATTAAACTAGACATACCCAATCCCTACAACCGTTCTTCCGAGGCTTTAGCCTCCAGCCCCCTAATCATCTTTGTTGAGCTGAGGTGAGCTGGGAAAGAATTTTAGAAGAGTCAATGCTATCCCAAAGCCCTCAAATTGGTCCTAAGCCCTTATCCTGACTGGGCACATGGTAGCCAACAGAACCAAGAGGCAAGGCAGACTGATTCTCCTGTGATTGTCCAAGCAGTTTTCTAAAACTGCTTGGAAGGGGGGAATAAAATCAGAGATATTTGAGAAGGACCCCCAGGTTGAAAACCCCAATGCGTGCATCAACTGCCATGTTCTGCTCTCCACTAAATATTTCCCTATTTCTTTGCTCTGTGCCAGGACTACGGTACCTATTGATTCGCCCATTTAATTTATCCAGGAGAATCTCAGGATGATTTTTTTTGGGGGGGGGGAAAGGCTATCTAGTGTTTTGGTTTGGTTGTTTGCACATGTCACAGAAATGCGGTGCCGTGTTATTGCGCAATTCTCTCTGCTTCCTCTCTGCTTCCCTCTCGTAGCAACCCTGCCAAGAGGATTAAGCTGGATAAGAGGAGGGGAAATGAAAACAAAATAAAGCAAAGCAGGCTTTCCTGTCTTTCCATCTCCTCTCCTCATCCAAAAACACCTTCTTCTGCTTTTCCAGGGTTGTGGAAAGGCCATTTTAGCAAAAAAAATTGATCCCTTAAGATGTCTCAACTGCTCTGCTCTGCTTTTTATTTTTTTTGAGCCATGGAAATGCTTAACAAAAGAGGTGGCCTCGCATCTCTTAATTTTCTGGCTTTTCAGACAATAGGTGCGGATGTCCCCAATAACTCTTTAGGATAACAGAATAACAAAGTCGGAAGGGACTTTGGAGGTCTTCTAGTCCAACCCCCTTTTCAGGCAGAAAACCCTATCCCATTTCGGACAAATGGCTGCCCAATCTCTCCTTAAAAACCTCCAGCGTTGGAGCACCCACAACTTCTGGAGGCAAGGTGTTCCACTGGTTCATTGTTCCCACTGTCAGGAAATTTCGTCCTTATTTCTAGGTTGCTTCTCTCCTGGATGAGTTTCCATCCGTTGCTTCTTGTCCTGCCTTCAGGGGCTTTGGAGAATAGCTTGACCCCCCTTTTCTTCTTTGCGGCAGCCTCTCAGATATTAGAACATTGCTATTATGGTCATCCCACCGACTAATTGTGTCCCAGCCTAGGAAAAAGATTCCAAGAAACATAACAGTAGAGAGTCAGTTTGGCCTAGTGGTTAAGGTGCTGGATGAGAGGCTTGGAGATCATGAGTTCTAATCCTGCCTTGGGAATAAAAGCTGGGTGACGTTCGTCCGGTCCCTCTCAGCTCAAACCTCCTTAAAAAAATGATTGTGGGGAAAACAGAAGGAGAGAGACCTTATTTGAATACTTCTAACTAAAATAACCCTCAGCTAATTTGTCCCCGGAAAGATTCCAGTTAAAATCTCTTGGGGACCACTTTTTTTTTCCTTTCTCTTTTCCTGTTTCGCTCAGAAATAATAGCAACCCCACTTGCCAGGACTGTGAAGAAGAAGATTCTGAACTTGACGGGAAAGACAATTTACCATCCGAAGAAAAGGTACTTTTTCTTGCCATTGAACTTAGCAATGGACCGTTGTGTGTAACCTGGACAGCTGAGAGTTGACAAACTTTCACAAAAAAGATGTGAAAATGGCTGTCTTCCAACTGTGTTAAGACGGTTCACAACACTGTCAACACTGTGCCAAGGCAAAGCAAAATGAGTTCCCAGTGATTCAACAACGTTGGGAGATTACAAGTTTCCGAGTGAAAACTTCTCTTATCAAATGCCAGCAATAAGAATTGGGTGATCCTAATTCGATGCAACTAATATGATTTATATATGGCTTTAAAAACACCTTTAAGAGCTGATCTTTCACTCTGGATGGCTGAAACTGTCTGTTTTATTTTTTTCCCCCATATCCAGTTCCTTTTTAAGAATTGCATTTTGCCACAGACTCATTTAAAAAACATTTGACAAAGCTTCTAGTGGAAAGGAAAATAATCATTCAGTAACAGGACGGATCAAGGAGATTTGAAAATGGTTCTGCTGCATCCAGCGAAAGCTGGGTCCATTTAATTTCAGTCCCCATCTTGCAAACCATGGTTTAGGCTTGAAGAGGTGCGATTCCAACCCAGGTTCATAACTTCACAAGCTTTGCTTAATCCTGTTTCTAACTCAAGCTTAGAAATCACGGCATTGCAAAAGTTTGGCATTTGACGTGTGTCTTCGTTTGCTTCCAGGGTCCTTGCAAGGCCACCCTTAACAAGGAGATTCTGGAATTTGCCGTGCATTGTGGGATACCAGGATGCAACTGGAAGGGTCCAATGAGCAATTTGGAAGTAAGGGAGAAAGCATATCGGCTGGGGGACTGGCTAACTGTATGGTGAGGAAGAACGGAAGAGATATGGGAGGTGATCCAGTTTGGATCATAGAGAATCTCATTAACTTCAGAGATGACTTTCAAATAGAGAGGTGTTCTGACATGTTATCATGCTCCCCAAACCCAAGAAAGACACGTTGCAATTCTTCTAAGCAAACTTCTTTATCGTTCCTCACTTATAGACATAAATCTTGCCAAGCTAAACTATTTGCACCTAAAACGTGCCCTCTGGGAACCATTGAGGAGGGGCAGTCTTCATCCTCTTTCTCACACACAAACTGTCTAAATTGCATTGTCTCTTGCTCCTCTGGAATGCCCCCCTCCCTTCTGAGAATCTGGACAACATTCCATCACAGGTGTTCCTAGTTAAAAAAAAAAAGTCCAAATGGGGGCGACCCACCACGTCA